TTTTATGTGTGCCATGAGGAAATAAAAAACAACGTGTAGAAATGTTCTACTTTCTGATAGATACTTGCATGAGTGTAATGAAAAGACTTTCATCGAGATGAATATTCATGAAACTTTGCAATAAATCCAATGCAGGGATAAACACAACAAAAGATTTTGTGCTTTTTTGTCTGGTTCTCTGGTAAATTCTGTGCATAGTTATGTTTGTGATAAAAATTTTCGGAAATTAAAGCCATTGTAAACTCGAAACTTTTACACATCGGAAAAATAACATGTGTATGCACCCGTTGAGCCGATGTTCATTGAAATAAATCACTTAAGTTATGCACATTTCTTGGAAAAAAGACGAACACCACAATGTGCACGTTCACTTTCTTTCCCGGCGAAGAATGCGTTTGAAAAAGATAATCTTCTCCAATTTGAATACAAAAGTATAACGAGCACACACACACAGAATACAATGGCAAAGTGAATCTACGGTAATACGGAAATTGATTCTCCATTACGAAAAAAACAAGGGAAACCGAGTGCATATGCATCTATTGAACATACTTGGTAAATATTTGACGAAGACGATAAAATATATATGTGTGTATGACAAAAGACGAAGTTGTTGGACGAACAACTTCGCATCAAACAATTGCGAACAAATATGCAAAAACTACGCGATATATTCACTTGCATGCATTTCGCTAGTCTAAATGACGTCTTCTTACACTTTTCAACATTCGAACAAAAGACATCGCGTTCTGATTTTTTTTGCCATCATGTCAGCGTGAATCGCAATGAATATAATATATGCTTAGATTTGAATTGTGATTTTGCATTTTTGAAAACTTCGACGAACGAAGAAGAATACTTTTAACTGTGCACAGAGAGCATCAATGGAATTGTTCAACGGTGGAAAAACTCATTGCAAAATCATTCCATTTTGAATGAACTGAACATATGCACATATATGAATTCTTTGCCCACCCCCTGCACGTTCTCCTACTTTTTTCTGCTTTATTTCATGATGCTTTTTTAATTTACTGACTTAAAATTTTCATGGCGTTCTTTTTTTTCATTCAACAAATGTCATAAAATTGTTTGTGTTTGTTCAGCATTCTCTTTTGTTCGCCACGAAAACGAAAAAAAAAAAAAAAAAACAACATTAAAACTATGCTTCCATTTGAGGTGATCTGAACTGTAGAAATGAGCAAGAACATCAGTTTTCTGTGTAAATGCAATAAAGAGTTCAAAATGCTGGAACAAAATCTACAAATGCACCAGAGGGACTATAGAAGAAGCGAACCGACGATTCTCTTACTGTTTGCAAAATACCACCGAATCGTTGTAATTCAAATGGAATTGCTATGCGAAGATCATAAAGTTATTTTATAAAATTTCCATATGAACTGACGTGTTTTGTGCGCACATTCGATGGCCCATATTTGCATTCCGTCACACACACACACATTCAAATGAGACACAATTTCGCAAAACTTATCATATTGTTCCTCTCGTTTGTTCAGTATTTGGTCGGTGTGGGGCCACAATGAGGTAGTATCGTTCTTTATGAATTCGTTCGTTCTTCTTTTTTCGTGTACACATTTTCATCGCTGCTTCTTTTTCATTGAGCTGAAAAATATTTAAATCACAATAGTGCAGAACATTTCCGACACCGTTGCTACTGCTGCCGTCGCTGTTCCACACGAGTGTAATGCATAACCAATTCCCAAAGTGGAACGAACTCAGGTCATGCGAATCGAAATAGACATAGAAAGTTCGTGGCATTTCAATTACTTTTCATTCACTATTTCATTTTCTGCGATGCGCTTTTCAAAGTTTATAGAGAAATGTTGGCGCTCGTGTGACTTCAGTGGTCGGATTTTGTACGAAAATTTATGATTTAAATCCAATGAGAAGCACATTTTTAGCGCCTTATCTCGAATGCAAAATGGAAGAAAGTCGCCCGAAAACGGTGCAGAGACATAAGTTTCCTGACGAATTTAAAACAAATATTGCGCAGGAAAAAAATTGGCCATTACCTTCATTCGGAAATATCAGACTCTTTGCTGAAATTTTCCCATTTCGGTTTGAATGATAAAAAAATAAGCTCACCGCACCTTTTTTACGGGTTCGATTTAATACAGATTTGATAAGATAAGTTCGACTAAAGAGAAATGGAATGTCATTAACGTTTCATGTATAATTCACCTCATTTATATCCAAAGTGCCAACGAACAATGTGATCCCCATGTGAATCACACGGTAAAATAAGCAACCAACATTGCACACCAGCGCTGCTCACCATCACACTTGCTCTGCACTGTGGCACGCAAATGAAACATTTCGGATTTAAATATCAATCCCACAGTGTGGAATCATTTATTTATCTTTTTATTGGCAGTGTGATTGTCACACCTGGTCAAATTTCCATAGAAAGTACTTCAATTCGAAGCGTTTTTTTTTGTATTGGTTTAATTTTTGTACATTCAATGCATTCAATTACTCTCGATTAATTAAGTTGAACTCAAGTCCCATCATATAATTGCCATAAGAGCGCGCTCAATTTTTGTATGATGGTGTTTATCAGCGACATATTTGTACATGGAAAATAACGAAAATTCGATCCAAATGCAATTATACGTATTAACGTCATTAAAACAGTTATTTTTAATTACATATATTTTTCAAAAATAGAATTGATAGTATTACAATGTATGTTTGACTTGTTCTTGTTAATAAAACCGATCGAAAATGTGTTTGCGCATTGACGCAAACGGGTAGAGATGAAATGAGAAGAGAGAGAAAAGGTCAAAATGGATTAATAAGGGAGAAACAGGTATAAAGCGAAAGAGTTCAATATTAATTAAGTCATTAAATGAATACATTTTTTGCTATCCAATTAGTAAAAGTTTTTGCTCGAACCGAAAAATATTAAACTCAAATCAAAATATTCGAAATGAAAATCGTGCGTCTCGCTCGAAAACTTTTTGTGGCAAAACAAACGGTTCATATTGACAGAAGAGTCATTGTTTGAAATCGGATTTATATCATTCATTAAAAGTTGTATGTTCTATGAATTACTTATAAATTGAACCAATTCAATTTCTTTTTTTTTCTCTCCCTCCCTCTCTATTTCTCTCAGTCCTCTATAAAAAAACTATCAAAATCGAATATGAAGCAATGACAGTGTCGAACAAAAGCATTTTGTGATTGAAATGAAAAGTTCCTTTCAAACACAATATATATTTCGCATTTTGTCTGGAATTTTTATGCTATTTTTCGCATCAACTTTTCCATAATAATAATTTTTGAAACAATATTTCACTGCATTTTGTAGTATCGTGTCTTGAACGAGTGTGGTGTGCTTTTATACGGTCGTTTCACTCTCTCTCTCTTCATCTCTGTGCCACTCTTTCTCTGGATTGTTCATCATATATCAATGAAGTTATCGTGGTTCGCTCCCTCAAAATGACAGGCGACAAATGAAATGTGCAATTTTTTTGTTGTTGCCATAAGAGCGATATAGCTAGTGCATATGACAGAATGCGTTCATCATCAATTCAAAGGGAGTTTCGGTCGATTTATCGAAATATGCATGACGAAGCAACCAGAAATTGTACTATATCGCACATTTATGAACATTTCATTATTAACTGTGAGAAACTTTATGACAGCTAAAATCGAGATCGAGAGCGCAGTGAATGGGAACATCATTCTCTCCTTTTTTCATATCCTCGCTCTGTCCCGTACTCGTTAGACACGAGTATTTTCTTCATATGATGCGAAATGAAAATAGTTCGCGCGGTATATTGTCTGAAAATGTTGAAAACTTTGAGTAATAATCAGATTTTCGGATGGGTTTCTGTGCTGCATAATGTCAAACAAATGAGCGTTGACATTTTGTGAATGAATATTTTCAACGAACAACAAAAGAGCACAAAAAAAAAAGAAGTTATAAACTTTTTTTAAAAACAACCCAAACGTAAATTGATTCAGCAAAAATAAAACCATGACAATGTAATGCTTTTGTTGCACGAATATATATTTATTGTACAATGTTCATCTAGATATAATGGCGAAATATGAGAACAAAATAAGATTTTTGTATGCACGGTTTTTTATCCAATCAATTTTACTGCTTATCGTACAAAATGCACTCATTTGGCAATGTCATGTTTCATTTTAACTAAAGATTTTGTACGGAAAATAAAAAACGAATCAAGCACCGACGATAAAAAAACAATACACACCGACCGAGCTTTTTTTGAGTGTGTGCTTTTTATGCGGGTTGCAGTTAAATAAAAAAAAATGTGTTTGGATTTTTTGTGTGTTGTCAATGTTATTTTAAGTTTTTTTCGTCTCTACATCATCTCCGCAGTCTTGAATTCCAATTTGCAGTACAAATGTCAGTAGTATTTTTCATCGACTCTTTCATTCGGAGACATTATGATGTAATCGACGTCATTTAGAACCGTTTTCGACGTAAAGACGTATTTATGAAACGACTACCTTTCGAATGACTTGAATTAAATCGTATTTATACTGCTTTGGCTGACGTTCGAATCAATGTGGAATAGTAAATGATAGAAAAAAAGCACTACCAAAGTCATTGAGCCGAAAATGAGTTCGATGTATTTATTTCAGTCGGGCGAATCACATTTAAAGTGTATGTGTGTCTGTACTTTTTGATGGTGGGTTTTATTGATGTCAGTCCTAATCACGACAAGAGCTCGCTATATACTTAATGGCAATTGAAAAATACAAATCGATTGTGTTTTATTGAACAATACCTAACGAACTTTGATTTTTTTTCTCTTCAAATACTAACCTCGTTTTGCTATTTGTCTCTTTTTTCTTTTTTCGGGTTTTTCGATGGTCATTTTGGCATGATGTGCGGTGGGCTCGAACGATTGATATTGAATGTGGAAATGGACGTCGTTTGGCTGGAAAAACCGACATTTTAAATCGAATATATGTGTGTTCGTGGTGATGGCGCTGCCATATATCAGGTTATGTGGGTGCGACGCACTATTGATAAATTTTCTCTGCTATCAGTTGGAAATATCACTCATACAGGAGATCCTCGAATTAAGGTGACATTTCAGTATCCAAATAACTGGCGCCTACACATAAATCCCATACAAAAAGAAGATGCTGGCCTCTATCATGTAAGTATCATTGCCAAGGCCTCTATCATGTAAGTTTTTTACAATATTTTTTATTTCCTCCCCAAGTGCCAAGTGTCAACTCATCCACCAAGAGTGTTTACCACAAATGTTACCGTAATGCGTGAGTATAAATCATTCAATGTTTTGGTTGATGTTAAATTTAAACCCTATTGTAGTATTCTTGTTTTTTTTTTCGTTTGGTTTATAATTTCCATTGCATAAATGCGGACACCTTGCAATTATAGCATACATTGTTATTTATACAAGTGGCAAGTGCTGAAGTGCACCGTCATTTGTGATATGAATATAAATAACATTGTATTATCAACGGAACGAACATTTTGTTTTGTTTTGTGCCTACCGATGGCACACAGCGCACAATTTCCATTTCATATCTAGAATTATGTTGGGATCTCATGCGCTTTGAAGCGATTTCAACTGTGTTATCACATTCAACAAAACACGCTAAAATACCTCATCAATCAAACACGTAAAGTGCCATAAAAAATCTAGTGGATTTTTGAAAAAAAAAAGAAGGAAAATTATAACATGTCATGAGAAACGTGAAAAATACAGACCTACTTTCAACACTAAACCAAGCTGAATTATGTCTCTATATTTTCACAATCTTTTATATACTTATACGTATGCGCTCTCTCTCTCTCTCTCTGTCAAGCTAGAATTATACCATGGAAAGCTACAATAAATATTCATGAAAAATAATATGAAATATTATCCAGAATCTTGATGCGAATCAAGTAACAAATATTTATTTATATTTAAATGGGAACATTCCGTTTTTGACTCTTGGGAAATGTATGCGAACATATCCGTTAACATTCTTTTTTTGCGTCGCTCTTCATAAATACCAAAATATGATTTCATTTTTGCAATGCATTTTTTTCGCGCATTCACACTCATTTAGATCACGCGCTTTTGCTACAGCGAAACGAAAGAAATCAGACGGAAAAAGTGGATTTATTTTATGTGAAAGAATTCGTGCGCGATGAATTGTCAATTTGAATAGACACAGAGAGAAAGAATCAAAGGGAGGGTGAGATGGTGGAGCTAGGGAGAGGAAAAGAGAATATTTGTTCGAAAAATCTTATTTGCGTTTGACAAAATGGAATTTTTGTCTTTTTTTTAAGCATCGCTTTATCATTTACTTCATGAGCCGAACAGAGATTTTCCGCCTTGTAAAGTCTGAATTGAGCCAAGTGGAGAGACACAATTTTACTCATTTATTCGAGTTGCCATACACGAATTTAATTCCTAAATAAATTTTATGTCGCTTGCACATTTTTTCCTTCTTTCTCATTCGGATCGTTCATAATCTTCTTTGTGTGTGTGTGGGTGCTGATGACTGACGATGGCTGTAAATTTGTAACATCATGTTACTAAATTCGGTGTGTGTCTATAGACAAACGAGAGATAACACTTGAATGACATATCATGCAAACTGGATCATTCTTGAGTATAAAATGAAATACGGTCGTATATGTTGATGTCTCGATAATTATTTTCTTTTTTGTTCGTCATTTTTTTTTTCGACGAAAATTCGCCGATTTAATAACCTGTGACAAATGGCAAGCGCAAAATGAACATGACACAATTATATGAGGGAATGAAATGCTTTGGAAATAATTGGCATACATGAAAAGAAACAACACATCTATGCTATACACATGATTCAAACAATTTGCGCTTGTTTCAACTAGTATACGTATAATGTATATGTGTCTCAAGTATTTTGGTTTTTTTTCTTTACAAAAAGCCCATCATTTAGTTACGTCATTGTAACGTGCACACACACATCCAAAATTACTACTTGCCACTTAAGAACATTATAAATAAAGACGGCGAAAAAAAAGTGTACGCGATAATTTCATCACATTTTATGATGTGAATCAAAATAAATGTGGATAATTTTTTATGGTTTCAACGAAATGAAAAACGAACATCTGTCGCGCATACATGTACGTTCCGCATGCATAGCGACATCATTCATTTCATTCGTCATTGTTCTTCATTTTCGTCAGCGCATAATTTTTTGGGTGAATTATTTAAACTTATATACAAAAGTTGAAATAATTTATAAGAATTATGATTTGTAAAAGAGGCAAAACAACCACACCTATTTCATTTGTTATGCACGTTCGAATATCCGTTTCGGCTCATTTGCGATGTCGCGCTCATGATATGTATGTGATGTGGAAACACTTGAAAAAAGGGCGCATTTCAAGCCTACTTCATATTATGTTTTGCATTTCTGCGAGTCGAGTGACAGAAGCGCAAGTCTAGGGGGAATTATCTGCGCATCTTTTTATACACAATGAACCGTAAATAACTGCAATGTGTCACTTTAAAATTTCATTCAAAACTTTAGGTTTTCATTCAAATTCTTAATTTTATTTTTTACTTCAAAAATGTTGAAACTCATAATGTATCAAAATGTGAATCTTCTGCGAATATGAATAGTTCATGGATCATTCTGTTTTTTCAATACACGATGAATCCACATTTGGCTGCTGGAACAGAAGAAAAACTACGTATTTATCTTAAAATTTCCCCCAGACGCAAGCATATGATATACATGTCCCTTGAACTTTTTGCTGTTGCCTTGCTATACTTCTTGTGTAAGCAGTGCATTTTATATACGGTCCGTAAAGCTATAAGGATTCAAAGCGATGAGAAATACTTGTGTAAGAGAATGCCTTTGATGCATAATTGTAGCTTTGGTATTGATCCCAGGTACTTACAAGCGAACATATTTGTGTATTCCATATATCAAGTGAACGAAATAAAAGGACTGATACTCTCCCTCAACTGAGGATGCTACATGCTGGGATTTAACGAAGGATAACTTGCCGACACTTGGTTTTATATGATTAAATTCAGCGCGAAAAAATAACAACAAATTATTCAGTTCATACTAATTACGAAGGCGAAAATAAAACCGTTGGCTGAATGAATGCGAGAAGAACAAAAAAAACAGTGCACATTTAATGCCATTAAAGCTATTTCAAATCGCTATTAGCCATGAGCCATGCAATTACATAGTCGAAATCATTTCGAAATTTAATTATCAAAGCTGTATGTATTTTAGTATGGGCAATTAAATTGTCCTTTGTATTTATGAGTGGTGTGTTTATTTTCGTTGCAGCGTTTTTACGCTTTCATTTAAATTAAATGGAAATTACGAAAACAAAAAAAGCGTCGCTTCATAAACAAGCCTCTACACATCGGATGTGTAATGATCAAACATTTAGGTCTATGTCAATATCCCGCCCCGTGGAACTGTGAGACGCATCAAAGTGCCAATGTTAACACATGGAGACAAGAAAAAATGAAGATTGTGTAAAGCGAAGGGGAACTTGTTGTTTGCAAAATACAAAATGATTAGTTTTGCATTACATTTGGAGAATGGCCTCAAAATGATAATTTATGTAGACATCAGATGTTCATAAATTTACGAAATTGTGTCGTTACACACAACATACGCAACAAACAAATACATATACAAACATTTGCACGTACAAATAGAATTGGTGTTCGTCTTTGCAATGTGTGAGCACATGTGGAAAACTTTGGCGCTGAATTGAAATCGCCTTCGTAGAATGTGTGTGTGTACAATGTACATATAAAGCGATTACATAGAAAATGTGAAATGCAAACCATATTAGCTATTTTAAAATACAATTTAGATTATGTGCATAGATTAAATGTATTAAGTCATTTTAGATAAATTTACCAGCACTGTGCGCACTTCAACTAATGGAAAAGCTTGCACGTAGCCAAGCGATGCGTAATGTAGCAATTCAAATTTTTCGTTGGCGTAAACGGAAAAAAAAACATTGACTGAGCTAAGAGGAAATGTACATGTATGTCTAAATTAGGCTCTGATCTTGGAAGCTTTGAAGTTTTCCATTGAATTCTAATTTAATTTTCTATGCAAACTGTTTTAAAAGTGTGTACCAAATACACCGAGTGTACAACATACAAATATTCAACCACTTCTAATCTTTCGGCAATTTAGACGATGCTCATGTAGCATCTCTTCCGGCATTGTGGTTTGTTGATTTTGAGCTTGAGATACGAAGACCAAATTTATAAAATACCCTCATACGGTGTGCACTGCACAACCATTTTCTATATGTGCGCATATCTATTGTAAATTGCTGAAGATGTATACGTCACAGTGCCACACGTTTGTTTGTACAATGTACAAAAGGCATTCTTGACTCTTTTCCGTATACATTTTGGATTTAACGTGCACTATAATAATTAGGTTTCTATTTTCATTTGATACAATGACTCTCACACATGTACCACGTATCTTATGGGAACCAACGCTTGTTACAAGTGGCAATAAAATCGATGGCTTTGAACCGTTACCTTTTGATACATGCAAAATATCCAAAGTACAAACGAAAGTTAATAAATTTATACCAACGAAAATGGTAATTGTGTTTAAATGTAAGTGCTTTCAGTTTCGTTTGATTGTTAATGGTGTACAATGCAGAAATGAACATGTCACACAGAAAGAAAAAATGTGGTATTTTTAATTCAAGATTGGTAGATTTAATATAAAATCAACCAACAACGAATTAAATTTACCATTTTTTACATCTCTGAGGCATATTTTTCAAAAGTGACTATTTGTTGAATAAGTTTTACCAACTGCTTCATTACATTTAACAACTTTTCGAAACCACAGATGACGCTAGCTCATGAATTTGGTGAATGAAATGAAGCAATTGGTAAAACTTATTCAACTGATAGTCTCTTTTGAAAAATATGCCTCATAGATGTCAAAAATGGTAAATTTAATTCGTTGTTGGTTAATTTTAAATTAAATCTACCAAAATTGAATTAAAAATACTACATTTTTTCTCTCTGTGCACAAGGAAAATACAAAAGTCCATTCGAATGGAAAGGGAGAGATTGGAGAAAAGCTCAATTGCTACTGCATCCACACATTTTCTCATGTTCACCGTCTATTTACCATTCGAATCAAATAAATAGTATTTGTCTTTCAAGAGTGCTACCGAACAAAAGTGGTTACCGATTGAAATTTTCAAGTATGCGCATCAGTATCGCAAATGGAAAATCCAAAAAGGGTGAATTTCATTAGAAATAACTTGCATTTACCATTTTATCGTCATGACATAAACAGAAAGCGAATCGCAAAGAGAGAAAGCAAAAAAGCGAAAACAATATCTCCTTCGAAATGGCAATGGTAACATTCTCAATGTGAATTGTGTGCTGCATTTGTCATCGATTCAATAAACTGCAAAGATTCCGAAGTGTATCGAGTAGTATAAGTGCCACTCTTCAGATATACAATAATATTCATCGATGTCAAAGAAAATGCTGTCATTTCGATTCTGCAATTGTTGAAATTTTTCGATTAGTAACCATTTTATCGTGAGTCGTGACAATAAAACTCAACAACAAGCATAAAGTTCATTGCATCCGAAATGTACACACGGAACATGTGAACCAAAAATATCCACATTTATAAGGTTTAACCATGATCCGAATATCACAGATGCTGTTTGCCATTTGGTTCTTGTGCGGTTTCACAATCAAATGAACGATTATGTTTGTGTGAAAAATGAGTGTGTTTCCAGGTGCGACAACGTCGACTTTGTCCTTTTATTGCCGAAGAAATGTGATTGGAAACACGAAATTCCGTGCACAAAACACACAGCTGGAGATACATTACTGTGCCAGCCAATTGGACATTGATTGATGGTTGTTTGAATGTTATTTAAACTGCAATGGAACATACTTAGAAAATTAGAACCATTTCCAATTACAACAACGTAGTTGTAGAGCTGGAGACACTTCTAATGGATCAATCGGACATGAAACGATAACGGACCAGGAAAATTCAATTGCAGCATACACTTTGTCACTTTTCGTTTTAAATTACGTTTGTTTCGCGTTGCCTGTTCCTATTTCCGAGCCGAATGGTTTCATCAAAATAGCTTTCAAATGAAATGGACTTTCATACGCAGTTGATAAAAGTTGCTGCAATAGTGGTTTATGACTCGTGGATAGCCACAATTCCTAACGAGAGATAACAATTTAAAAGGTTTCTAGAAGGTGCTCTCATTTTCGCATATAATCATTTTGATGATGTTTTTACATCACAGATATTGTCACAAATTAGCCGTCTGGCTGCAACTCTGGAATATAATACAGGTGCATTCGTAACCAATGGATACCGTTTTTAATGAACATTTTACAATTAAGCACTCAGTGGCCGATTTCATGAAATAAACTCACTACAGTTCCGCAACAAATTCATTATCTCAGTTTAGCAATTTCATTGACACACTTACGTAAGTTACATTTGGTTGGATACGTCGCTTCACTAACCAGAAACGCATTTAATTTGCTTCAATTAAAACATAAATTTTCCAACACAAATACACGCACACACACTCTTCTCCCTAATTAATGAATTCAAATTCACAAAAAACACAACATATGCTGTTACAATGTATTGTGCTCGTGCTTTTTGTTTCGGATCTCAATACTTGGCAGCATATAATTAAACAATTCGCATGGAATAGAAAGTCCCAATTAAAAACTTGAATAACTTATTTTTGTGGCAAAGAATATTGGGTTCTTGTGTGAACGATGCATCAACCGGCTGATTCCAAGAGAGATGAAAAGAATAGCTCTCGAGAGCTCTCAAAAATAAGGTTTTGCATGCGCAAAAAAAGAAAAGAGCCACGAAAAACGAATTGTGGTGACGTTGTCAGCAAACAATTCGGTGAATGAGAGCTTCACAAAGTGAACACTGAACATATGCTTTAGCGTAAAAACGCTGAAAACCCTAAATTAGATCCATTCTCGTTTAGTATACATTCAACCATAATTACACTTATCCAACATTTGCTTTCTTTTACTATTTTGGATGATATTTTGAAAACGTGGTTTTGGTTTTTGTCCCTTTATCCTCTTTGCTTGTCGATGGTCGATGTCATTATTTTAATTGATGGAAAACATTTTATATATAAATGCCAAGAGCAGAACAGTTGACTAACAGAAGAAAAGAGTATTATTCTCGAAAAAAAAAAACGGAAACAAAGAAAAAGATACAATTGACAAACAACTAAATGAAAACAAATAAAGAGATTATCGTTTCATTTTGTGTTTGTGTCATGATTAGGAAATCATTAAAGTCGAATAAAAAGCATTATTATCATTTGCTTCGTTGAGTTTCAGTTTCTATTGCTTATTCTCTTACAAACTGCCATTGAAATGTCATCGGCTATAATAACAAATACACTTAACGCACAAATCCTTCGACAGTTTCCAATTAAATCAACTAGACAAAAAAAACACAATTCGTTTCCATTTCAATGATCGCAAAATACAATTAATGCATGAATAATTAAGTTAGTTAAATACCACACATTCCAGAGGATCATCCTCGCCAATTGAAAACGATATTAATTCTGTATTCGATTTGTATTTTTCAACCAGCGCCAGCTATACGTGTAGTGGACGAACAGGGCAATGAGATTCGTGATCGATACTATAAAATTGGTAGCAAAATTGATTTAACGTGTCAAGTGGCAACAAATTTCATTACGAAAAATTCGACCACCACGGCTGAATCGAAATTTTCCCTGTTGCAACGATACATCGACGCACCACCAGAACCGCCGACACCACCGCCTACACTCTTCCCGCCGATATCCGCATTCGATGTACGAGACAATGAAATTGATATGTCGGAACGGGCAACAATTCGGACTGCTGTCAACGACAGCCTGTTTCGCCGCATCAAATGGACTAAAGACGGCGATAGCGTTTCCAAAGAGGCTATATTTAATTTGAGGTAAGTGTTGTATTACCGTTTCAACATTTCAGGGAGACAAATCAATGTTATGAATAAATATTTTAAATTTCAATAAAAAAAAAGTTTTTTTTTACAATCGAACAGAGTGGATTAAGCATTGCTCATCTGAATTCATTTTAATTTAATTTTCAGTTCGACCGGCGGATGGATCACAAGCCGATTATCTATATTGAGTGCGGAACGACAGCATAGCGGCATATATGCATGCTCAATCATTAATTCAACGACAGCCACGGTCGATGTTCAAATATTAAATGGTAAATGCTTTTACTCCAAATCCAAATCCAAATCCATTTTCGGCGCCGTTTTTTGCCTTTCCGCAAACGGCGTTCAATTTCTGAATGCATGGTAGTTGCTTCTGTGTAATTACATTCATCTTCATTTATTTTGCGTCGATTCGACGCTGATTAATATTTTGTTTTCTGCTTTTTTGGAAGTTAGAATATTCAAAATAGATGCAAAGCCCTTCTATACTATAGTTTTAATTTATATTCACTGTGAATATATGCAGACCGTTCACGTGAATCGGAAAAATTAAATACTCATAGATTTTTTTGGTGCCTGTTGAAAACTCTCTTATTTAAATAAATGTCGTTTTAAATTTTCCAACACAGGCGAAACACCGGCTGCCGTACAACACAGCGTTGCAAATCAAATTAGCCACATTTATGTAACACTTCAAGCGTTAGCATCAATCCTAATCGTTTTGTACATATCTTGCTAATGTAATTGACATCAATTTTTGGATTTCATCAACATCACTCATTTGCATCAATTCAAATGAGAAAAATGTACGACACTTGCGGTTCGTCGGGACAAAAAGTGGAAATTTTTCATTTTGAATGTGAACAATGATTTTGTCTAAATATTTGAAAACAAGACATACATGTGATTGTTATTCGGAAAAAGTGTTTTTTTTTTGGGGGAAATGAAAACGCATGACGACAATTTAAAGGGTAAACTATGACCGTAAAAATGACATGTAATAAATTATTTACATTGACATTCGGGAAAAACGAGACTATCCAGAGTTTTGAACTTTTTTCGGCTTGATCAATTAGTTTCCTTTTTCTAACTTAGTCCCGAAACATGATGTTTTATCAACAGAAAGTAAAAATAAATGATGACAATTTTAAATAATGCATTCAGTGAGCAAGTGATAATATGTTGGTTTTTCGTTTCGATCGAAACAAAACAATGTATAATGAAAGAGGACTAGAATATAACTGCTAGAATTGGCTTTTTATCGAGTTTACATGTAATGGTGTAGAAGTGTAGTTGGTCATCTCTTCTGTTGTCATTCGTTTTGTGTTTATTCAACCCAGTAAAATGAAAACCTTGAACAAAATCATTGGCAACATGATCAAGCTTAACCAATATTTTATTGTAAGAAAATTCTAAACCATATTCATTATTTATTAAGAGTTAGCTACCCTCAAAGAAGAAGAATAAAATGAAAAGAATTGAGAAATTTGTATATATATTATAGACCAGTTAGGATTGATTTATATTTCATGATATCGATGAAAAAAAAGAAAATCTATTTGAAAGTTGTTTTTGCTCAATGTCGGCGCAAGATTTTATTTTTTATTCACATTCAAAACAAAAAGTTGAAAATATAAAAAAAAAAATTAATATGAGACATTTTCTTTTCTAAACTGAATGCTTGAGTAATCAAAAGCAGGTTAAACCAAGTCAATCTTATTAACACATTGATATTAACCAAACAATTGTAGAGAATTATAAATGGTGCGGTAAAAAGTTTCATGAATTTGTATCGAATTAATCATATTTAATAAAGTGAGTCGATTTTGAAATGTTAGTTATTCATCGGGAGGAAGACATGTTTCGTTTAGAAACTGCATTCATGGTGCTCACCATTGTTTTTAAATTAAAAAAATCAATTGGAAAACACTTCGGAATCAGTTCTTCTTCATGCCAAATGAAGATGAATTACATCCGAAGCGTTTTTTTCCTTTGATATGACACAAAATTTATAGACATTCTTCTAGATCGACTCATCAAAATAATATCGAGACTTTCAAATTCAAATACAAGTAACGACTCAAATCTGTATAATCCAAAATGTACTTTATCAGTCATAATTGTATAAAATATATTACTATTTAACCGAAAAAATGGTTATAATTGTTCAACACTGAAAACCAAATGGAAATCTAATCGTTAAGAATGAAAATCATAAGTTATTAGACACTTAGAACCACTACTATGTACCAAATGATATGTTTATTGACAGATTAATATATATGATTATTAAATCAGACTATAAACGAAACATACACAAACAAAACACGATTTCATGTATTGGATAAAAGGAAATAATAAAGAAACCATTTATGGGAAATGAAATGCTACACCAAGAGAGAGTTATGATTTAAAGTTGCCAGAGAGTTTCCACAAAACGGTTATCGATTAATCTTTTTTTTTGAATACATTTTTGTTCAATCAACTGGGTCATTTCGATATTTTGTGGCAAATTATATTCTGATATTGATTGCAACTGCCAACTGTTATAATAGCCGAAGGGAAAACCACTGTTTAAAATCACCATAATTAGATGATCGGCAAATATGTACTTTTTTGAAGATAGTGTTTCATTTTCTCATATTCTTCATCAAAAATATAGCCAAAATGTTACAATCCAAATTCATAAAATATTAAAAGTGCTCATACATTAGATACCACTAATTTTAAGCAACACTTTTCAAATAACAAAACACAAAGAAAATGAAATCAAAGAGAGTGGTTGTTGGAAGGCGATAGTATCAATACATCATTCCATTTATAAAATGCTCACGCTATCTTTAACCAACGATCAAAATAGATATGGCTAAATAATGATGATGTGTTAATTTCGAGGCAAACCAAATTAAAAGAAATGAATAATTAACAATAACAGAAACATACATAAAATAGCTAAATTCACAAGAACACTAAATAAAATTGTAACAATTAAATAATAAACGTCTTTTATTCTATTTTTTATGAACTATTTCACGTTGCATGACACATTGATATACATATCCGCCTCGAGTTCAAAATGTTGATGTGAAAATGAAAAATTATGTCTGGCATCTCCACAACAGTCGTTGGCATATTCCTGCTTTGAAGAAGCTTTCAGCAGATAAAGCGAATCGATTGCACAACACACGGAAAAAGCTTTTGTTCTGCTAATCCATTCACTTTCCCTAACAAAAGCTCACATTGGTATGACGTTCCAACGTTAGATGGACGAACGTATACATATTCCGCTTTCACTCGGATTCGAATATTTATCCAGCCATGTTATAACAACGGTGCCAAGAAAACTCTTCCGCTCCATTCAATGGAGCCCTCATTTTGTGAAACTTATTGTGAATGTGCGCATAAGCTGGGCTTTTTTATCTATGAAGAATTCACAATTGTTTCGTGAGCTTGGGAAAATATCAACGTTTTGAACCACCAATGTACCTGTTGTTATTTGTGAGAAAAGAGTTGAAAAGAATTCACATTGCTCCGATTATCAAAAAATATTAAATTTTCAAACTCATTCACTATATTTTTGACAATCAAAGTAATACAATTGTTCACCTTTGCATTGCTGAAAATTCTAACATTGTTGAAAAGAAATAAATGTATGTATATAAATTCGGCGAAATTCGGTCAGGAAATTGCAGTATTAAAGAATACTATATGATTAAATTTCTAATAAATTTGTGTAAAATTGGAATGAAAATATATTTTATACAAAGTTCTCACTGTTCGGAATAGACATTTTTAATGGACGCTTGTGCTGCTCTCCAAGACTATTATTTCAAGTGAAGCAAGTACTCAAATGGTAAAAAAATCAACATTTGTTTCACTGGTTTCACTTGAAATAGTTGGTGGAATTTTTGTGTAATTTTGGTTTTTCACTGTCATTGCAGATTTAATTGAAAGAAGCTTCGAGACATAAATACACAAAAATAAATTCTAAATGCCCGTTCACAAATGACAGAAAATAAGTATTTTTAAAGGTTTGGTGAAATTTACCGTTCATTTCAATTCTATTGTTTCAAATAAAAAATGCGTACAAATCGTAAAAATGAATTTTCTACTGCATTTTTTACTCAAAATAATAGAATGCACGTTTTGGTAATTTTGTATTCGTTTGAGTGTATTCCAGGGATTGTTCTGAGAAGGAAAATGAAGAGGCGAATTTCCTTATTGAGGAGGAAACTTTTTTCGGACAAACAGCAATTTTTATCACAAAAATATATTTTTTTTTGGTTAAAAACATTTTCTTCGAAAAAGATTCATAAAATCAATGTGCAAAGCCGTTCAACTGCATTTTAAGTATACCATACTATTATCATACAGATTTTCAAGCAGATTTTTCTTTTTGATGGAAATTGTTGTTGATTTTCAATTCTATTATTTCATATGAAACAAGCATATAAATCGTTAAAATCAACATCTATATTGCTCCGTTTCATATAAATAAACGAATAACTTGGTATTTGAGTCTCATTTTGTTTTGATTGAAAACTTTTGAATGTTATCAGGTGCAAAAAATCATAATGCACGGCGACAAATTTCACGAAATATATTTGCTAACGAAGGAAGTAGTTTATAAATTTCCATTGAAAAACAGTAACGATTGAAGCAGAGATTATTTTAATCATTATAGCAGGCAATCATCATGATAATATACTTTTGCGAAACGAAAATGTTGATGTGAACGCTGTAATTTGTCGACCTCGTTGATGAGATAACTTTGTAACAATCTCGTAAAATAAACATCGCCGAGTGAATAAATCGAAAACTAAAATTCTGGCTGTTGAATATTCGCTTCGCACTGAAATCATATTATCTTTTACTTTCGCCAACTTTATAACAATTTATCATTGAGTTTCGTACCAAATTATACGCAATCAAATAAATTGTATAAAATAAACACAATTCCAACTTAATGCAATTTATGAAAAGAGAAACTTCAATATATTCATAATGAATGTCGCTTGGCATACTTTTCTCAATTAGCTTCGATAGCACTCTCAAACTATTCCTTCTGGCAACTCGTCGGATGTTCGTGACTCGGATGGCATTGCGGCGTTTACGTAGAATTATGCAAATACTCAAAATGAAATTAAATTCACTTTTCGAACAGTTCATTTCATTTGATATCATCGCCGGCGAAGGCCATTTTCAACCGCAGTAAACATGTATCATAGCAAAAATAAATAATTAAATTTGAATGGGGAAAAAACATGTCACCCCCTTCATTCGCGGTTACGTCGTTGCAAAAGTTTTTAACAATTTGTTACATTGCGCTTCGTTGAACGACCAAATTAGGACAAAAGGTTGGTTTAATTGTAATACAATAAGAGAGAGCTTCCATTTCATCATAATTTCAAGAAAAAATATTACACCTGATGTTTCAAACGCAAAACATCTTGGTGATTTACAAGATGCTGTTTATGTTTATATTGAAAATAATTTGAAACGAACTGGGTCATCAGTTTGAAAAGTATACGCTTCATTGAAGATAAATACAACTTAAAATTCAAATGAAATTCAAACATTCTGATTCTTCGAAGTAATGAAGGCTTCATTATTTGCATTAATTGGAGTCAATTATAGATGAGATCTCAATTTCAATTTTTCTATACAAGTTCCTTATTTTTGATTTTTTTTATTAACGTTCATGTTTGAATAAACAAGATTCATTGGCGCAACTGCTTTTTACATTGAATTGAACAGCAATTTTTGTCATTTGAAAAATTTCACATATTTTTTTAGAAGGAAGTATAATGTTTTAACTCGTTACGAGGTTAATATTAAAGCACTTGAACATTATTTCGAAAGCAGATGCAAGGAGATGATAACTTTATATCCGAAAAGTTTCATTAAGAGCACCGTCTTGGTTAAATATGTGTTTAACATCCAACCGTTTTCAAAACACGTAACGCCTATTATAAATTTTCAATTAGCTCACATACAATACTACACCGACTTCTTACAAGCTTTCCTTGGATAATAAACTCCTAAAAACTATAATGCGCATGTATAATAAAATGAAAATTCAAAACATTTATTTATTCTGTGTGACATCTCAACTTGTGAAAAGTAGTATTTTAAGTAGTTGACTCTCATTCAAAATTTTATGCAAAATTACTTTTCTAAATGATGTTTTTTGATGGAAACATATGGTGTTCGTCAATGCTATTATTTCAAATGAAACAAGCGTAAAAATTTCTTTTTCCAAATTTTTACTTTTTGTTTCACTTGGAATAATAAAATGTTTATTGTTCAATGTTCATACAATGTTTTTAAGTCTCCTTTTTTCCGGATGTTTTCAGCATGTTTTCCCTTCATTAAAATAGTGTCATTGACTACAAGATTTAATTTTTTTTAGATAATAAATAGAAGTAGCTTGGAAATTCACACAAACAAACATTGAGACCGACTTAAATTCAAATGGTATTTCCAACATTCATTCATTAAATGCCATGTATTTTTCACGTTAAGCGCGATTAGCATGAGTACTATGCTCATTTGATGAGGAAGTGTTTTGACATGTTTCGTTTGCACATTTCGTTTGCTTTTCGACTTGATGTTTTTTTCCATTCTGTTCTTCGATGAAAACCATAATATTTGTGTTAATTAGGCAAAGTGAAGCGCTTTTCGTGCACGAATAAACATTCAACATGAGATGACTGTCACCGATTCGCTTTTCATCAACTTTTCCATCATTTTGGCATAATAAAAAAGGAAGAATAAAACAATCTTCCGACAATTTGCTTATATGTACGCACTGATTAAGATTATGAAGTGATTTGTATTTAAATGACACTTGTGTCTATGTCGCGTAAGTTTAAGCATGAACCGCACATTCAATCAGTCGACATTTGGTTGTAATCTACTGTAGTAAAACACGAACGTGTTGATGTTATGCATCGAATTGACGAGAGGGGTAAAACTGATGTTTAAGTGAAAACAAACAGATTTTACCATAATTAATATTGTGCGGCGGTGATTCTACTGCGCTCTGTGAAAATCTGTGCTATTGCTATGTGCACTCATCGTATTTTTTCGCTCTTTCTCTCTCTCTCTCTCACTTCAACGGCAAATGACTCAATTAACAAACAGACTTGAATCAACATTTTGGCTTGCTACTGTTGTTTATCCGGTGCCGTGGCATTTGCACAGCTTGCACATTCGTACTTACGGCACAGTGTCGAACAGAGTCGACGACAGCGGTTTGTAGCATATCAAATGTACGTTCAACGGTGAGATACAACGGTGGGTGCGCGATAAACTGAGAGTAACTGAGAGCATAAGTAAGAGAGTTCAACAAAATGCTATCATGATTCATGGAAACGCAACGAAGTATGCTGTG